TATTATTCCAAAGCAACAGCCCCTGCAGGACCACCGTCAAATAAGTGTATAAACACTAATTCCCTCTGGAGTTTTTTTAATGAGGATTCAAAATGTTCCCCACTTCCCCTGCTAGCAATAAGGCCTAGATTTACAGGCCCCTGTATGTGGAGGCATTTACAGGGGCAGCTGTTCCTTCCAAATATCTAGTTTTGAAATAACTAATTTAAATTGCTTCATGAGTCTATGTGTAGTTTGATAGGTTCTAGAGGAATGAATTGGAATTACCCTGCCAGATGAAACTGCAAGATGTGCTGGTCCTTTTTCTAGTTTCTTGGGGTTTCTTTTTCAGCTATGGAAAAGGAGTTGCTGCCTCCCTTTTTTTACAGTTTTCAATCTATTGGCTTAAGGAGCTCCTGAAATACACTCAGTTAAATAAATTTTTCCGTAAAATATTTGTAGCTTAGTTATAGTTTGCCCATGAATATAGATATCATCTCAGATGCTAGTCTGGTTTTTCTGCCTACATCTTGACAGTTCAGTTTTAAATAAAGTGTATGCTCCAGATATAAATTTATTCACCCTTCTCTGTGATATTCCCTTGGGAAAGTTTTGAATATTTATTTTATTCATTCATTCATTTAGTATACTGCCCTTTATCCAAAGACCACAGCACAGTATTATTATTATTATTGCTGCTGCTACTACTACTACTACTGTTTATTAAATTTGTATATGACCCTTCATCAGAAGGTCAGACTGGTTCACAACATAAAAATACAAAATAAGAACACAAAATACCGTACTCAACGAAAACAAAATTATCCCCCTCACACAAACACATTTAAAAGACCATAGACTGTTAGCCTGATTGAAGAGAAACATTTTCGCCAGGAGCTTAAAGATATGTAATGAAGGCTCTAGGGTTGCCATATTTTGAAGAGCAAGAAAGAGGACACATTTGCCGACTTCTACTTTTAACTGTAGATCTCTATGACGACTCTCATTTTACATACCCATGAAAAAGGGAACGTGTCCTGGAAAAAGAGGACTTAGGGCAACCCTAAAAGGCACCTTGCCAACAAAGATCCGTATAGTTAAAGCCATGGTTTTCCCAGTAGTGATGTATGGAAGTGAGAGCTGGACCATAAAGAAGGCTGATCGCCGAAGAATTGATGCTTTTGAATTATGGTGCTGGAGAAGACTCTTGAGAGTCCCATGGACTGCAAGAAGATCAAACGCATCCATTCTTAAGGAAATCAGCCCTGAGTGCTCACTGGAAGGACAGATCGTGAAGCTGAGGCTCCAGTACTTTGGCCACCTCATGAGAAGAGAAGACTCCCTGGAGAAGACACTGATGCTGGGAAAGATGGAGGGCACAAGGAGAAGGGGGCGACAGAGGACGAGATGGCTGGATAGTGTTTTCGAGGTTACCAGCATGAGTTTGACCAAACTGCGGGAAGTAGTGGAGGACAGAGGTGCCTGGCGTGCTCTGGTCCATGGGGTCACGAAGAGTCGGACACGACTAAACGACTAAACAACAACAACAACAAAAAAGGCACCAAGCGATCCTCCTTGGGAAGCGCATTCCACAAACAGGGAGCCACCGCATAAAATGCCCATTCTTACGTTGTCACTATCTGGACCTCTCCTGGAGTAGGCGCAAGAAGAAGGGCTTCTGATGTTTTTAATAGAATCAATAAGATGCTTCTTTCTCTAGTGCCTACTTAAGAGGAACAGCAGCCCCCAAGTTTCCAAGTACAGTAGTCTAGTATGTCCCTTTAAACAATAGTTCAAGTAATGGGATGGCTGCCAATGTGCACAGATATGCCAATCTGAAGTGGATTTTTCTCCAATTAACCACTCCAATGTTTTAAGACAGTTTTTATTCGGTCAGAAGAACAGTACAGCTGGGGAACCCACAGAGAGGAGGCTGTTGGGAATCTGATGTGGAAGTGTGGATCTTACTTGAGGCACCACTCACCACACAGAAGCAGAGTAAGGTCCAAATCTTTTAATGCTGTAAAAGTAATAGGTTCAGCAAACAGCTCTGGCCAAAGTAAGCACAGAAAAATAAGTTCCAGTTTGTAGGCTTTTCAGATGCAAGTATATACAGAGACAAGGTATCACTGTTGCAACTAACCAAGACACAACACCACTGTACAACTGAACGAGTTGACATACATTAATTATAGGTATAAGTGAGGCCTCCAAGCTGTAACCACCGTAACTGGTTCATTTGACCTTGCACTTGTGATCACCTTGCCCGTGGGGTGTTTGATATTCGCGGAGGAACCCCTTCCTATGCCCAGCTACCCCAACAGAGTCCACTGAACTAAAAGCATGCCTGCATTATCAGAACTGGAGGCATCATGTCTGCTTTATATTACTGGTCCCTGCACAAACGTTCTTAATGCACAGAGTAAGCAGATTCTCCTAACAATATCCTTTCACACACTCTTTTGAAATCTCTTCACATGTAGACTGCCTATCCATGTATATACATCAATACTATCATGGCATGAACCAACTCCAGGAATTCTGAGTGTTTCTGAACCAAGATAAGATACTTACTTAGCTCCTGAGCATTTATACAACTGTAATCTTTACATGTCCACTCTTTCTTTGCAGAGGAAGGCAACAGGCAGAGAAACAATACAGGTGGAGGCAACACAACTTTTGTCCTAGCAGTGAATCAGCAGTGATGGCAGAGACCAGTCCTTCAGGACCAGTTTCCAGTTTGTTAGATGCACAGTATTTGTTCAACTGCAATGCTTAAGTAACTTTGCAAGGAAGAATGGGGAAAACAGTTTAGCGGCGCCACTGTGACCTCTAAGTAGCCAAGCCACACCAGTGACCCTCAGTTGTCACTGATTTTATGGTTTCTCCACGGTATGACTTTTTTGATGGGAATTGAGATTCTCACTGTCTTTGAAGCACTTTCCACATTCCAAGCATTTATACTGTTTCTGCCCTGTGTGAGTTCTTTGATGGGAAGTGAGGTTTTTCTTAAAGTTGAAGGTTTTACCACATTCCAAGCACTGAAATTGCTTCTCCTCTGTGTGAATCCTTTGATGTGAATACAGATGGGAGGTCTGACTGAAATTCTTCCCACACTCCAAACACTGATATGGCTTCTCCCCTGTGTGAATTCTTTGATGGTAACAAAGACTGCTGCTCCGACTGAAGCACTTTCCGCATTCCAAGCACTGATATGGCTTCTCCCCGGTGTGAATTCTTTGATGGGAAGTGAGGCTTTCCTTCCAACGGAAGCTCTTTCCACATTCCAAGCACTGATATGGTTTTTCTCCTGTATGAATCATTTGATGGAGGATGAGATGGCTGCTCCGACTGAAGTTCTTTCCACATTCCAAGCAGTGAAATGGTTTCTCCTTGCTGTGAATGATTTGATGGGTTGTGAGATGTGAACTCTGGCTGAAGCATTTCCCACATTCCAAGCACTGATAGGGCTTCTCCCCACTGTGAATCATTTGGTGGGAAGTGAGATGGTGTCTCCGACTGAAGCTCTTTCCACATTCTAAACATTCGTATGGTTTCTCCCCTGTATGAATTCCTTGATGGGACGTGAGACTTCTCTTCCAGCGGAAGCTCTCTCCACATTCTAAGCACTGATACGGTTTCCTCCCGGTATGAATTCTTTGGTGGGAAGTGAGATTATGTTTCAACCTGAAGCTTTTTCCACATTCCAAGCATTGATATGGTCTCTCACCTGTGTGAATTCTTTGATGGGAAGTGAGATGATCGCTCCGAATGAAGTTCTTTCCACATTCCAAGCACGGAAATTGTTTCTCCCCCGTATGAATTATTTGAAGGGAGCTCTGACTGAAGCTCTCTCCACACTCCCAATATTTATATGGCTCCCCCACTGTATAGATTTTGTAGCAGTTTCTCTTATTTCTGCTTTCCAATTCTCCACCGTCTGAAATGAAGACAGAAACTGATTAGAGCCTTAGTAATAAATGTAGCCTCACATTATGAAAAAATGCAATTAACGTTTGCTATCTAAGGAAAAATTGAAGGGATCTTACACTCCCAAATGATACGCATTTTGTAAGGTTTTAGTAAGTTCTCAACTCTAATAAGGGGAAGCACTAGCATCAACTTGAGTATATGGCAACCTAGCTAATTAATCTTTGTTGGAGACATTTATGCTTATGATTTATTAACATGCAATGTATTTAAAAACATGTGTCACACTTCTTAATCCTAAATCTTGTCTGTATGGTATCACAAACAGGAAAGGTCCTAGAACAAGGTTAGAATCTCTGGTGTTCTCACTTCCGGTGCTGATTTGCCTTAATGGCTGCCGCTCCCACATTAGTGGAGATTGTTTGCGAAGGATAAACAAAGATGATTTGAGCTTCACTTGGAGATTGTCTTGATGTCTGACTTTTGCTCCTATATGGAATGCGGGAGCAGGGAGACGCTGGGTGCAAAAAGCACTTAAAGGTAAAGGTACCCCTGCCCGTACGGGCCAGTCTTGACAGACTCTAGGGTTGTGCGCCCATCGGTAATCCTCTGATGCAGCCATCAAGATGCAGAGGCTCTTCTGTTTATTAGAGTAAAATTCAGACTAATTTACAGACGTGTGCTTGGATGGATAGGACAAGATTACATCTGCTAAAATGAAATGGCTACAAGGACGTAAATATTTGAACTGGAAAGAAAAATTTCCTTCATTGTAAAAGATGGTATGTGCGGGGGGGAGCCTTTACCCGTTCTATATATCTTGTTTATTACATAAATGATTTGGCAAATCCACCCCCTGACTGCTAAAAAAATAATGGAAGGTAGGAAAAGATAAAAGAAAATGGGAGTTTATTTATGGATGACAGTGCAAAATTGAACTGTGTGTGAAAATGGGTATGGATTCAAATCATTCGAAAGGATTTATTTCTCACTGCATCGCTAGCTCAGAGGGGTCTTTGAAGACTTGCCAAGGCTTGGCGGAATGCCAGATTGTTACTGGATATGATTAAAGGAAAGAGAGAAAATGGCAGGACACCAGACTATCTCTATTCTTGAAATGAAATGGCAATTACAGCCTCATGGCAATTACATATGGCAATTACAGCCTCCCGTTTTTGAGACAATGGGAGAGAAAGACTGGAAGTGGCTGAGCTGTGCAGGACAAAGACTAAATAGAATGATGAAACAATATGGGCAAAACAAAATAAATTAATATAAATATAAAACAAACCTCACACACAGGAAATAGAAAGATTACAGAAATTTTCTTACAGAAATATAAATTATTAACGTTTTAATACAAATAGAAGTTAAAAACGTTGTAGCTGTAGATAAGGGACTATGATTAAGAATAAATGCAATTGGATTAAATAACCCTTTGTAAGCAGAATGAAAACAAAAATACTGCACCCTGAAATCTAACACGCGGGAAGTCATACAAAATCTGTATATGTAATTGGCTGTTTAATTATAATTGAATTGCAATTTGGCATTGATACAATGTGGCATATATTGGATTTTTTGTAATTGAAAACTAATAAACATTATTTATATATAAAAAAAGAATCCCTGATGTTGTAGGTGACACCGTTGAACCACATCAAAATATAGGGATTCATCACCTTTATCAGCAACTGATCGTGGATAACAACTGATAATTCACAACAGATACTATCAAGCCACTGGGAGCCTTACCAAGAGAGGCAAAGATCCCACAGGTCTCCTCCATGACTTCTGTATGCAGAGCTCTCTGGTCAGGATCCAACAGTGCCCATTCCTCATCTGTGAAATGCACAGCCACATCCTCGAAGGATGCTGGACTCTACAAGAAAAAAGAAGCCTTTCCTGATTGGACCATTTTTGGCACTTTTTAATTATGGGTGTTTACTTTAAGGTTTTAATGGCAATTGTGTATTTCAATGATGGGTGTTTTATCTTTGTGCAACTGCCTTTTCTTCTTTGTTAGCTTCTTGAAAATCTACCTTAGTATTAAGCATTTTTTGAATTTATAAATACAGTGGTACCTTGGTTCTTGAACTTAATCCGTTCCGGAAGTCTGTTCGACTCCCAAAACCGTTCGAAAACCAAGGTGCAGCTTCCAATTGGCTGCACTCAAGCGGAAGCCATGTCGGACGTTGGGCTTCCGAAAAACGTTCACAAACCAGAACTCTTACTTCTGGGTTTGTGGCATAAGGAGCCAATTTGTTCACCAACTAAGCCACGGGTGTCAAACACAAGGCCCGCGGGCCGAATCCGGCCCGCCAGACCTCATCATGTGGCCCGTGTAGCCGCCGCCGGCCACCAGCCTTCACCTTTTATTCTCGGCTTTTTTTTTTTTTTTTTGACACAAGAAAGCCGCCTCTTCAGCGCATGCGCGGCAGCCTACAAGCCAGAGAACGTCTGCCCTCTAGCGGCACCAGCCGTTCTACACAGGAAACCTCCACTTTACATGCATTCAGGAAACCTCCACTTGTTACAACCGGCCCTTTGAGGGTGACCAAACTGCTGATGCGGCCCCCGATGAATTTGAGTTTGACACCCCTGAGCCATTCAGGAACCAAGGTACAACTGTACTACAACTAGATTATTCTAGCTCAGGCATGTCCAAAGTTTTGGGGACCTAATCCTAAAAAACGGTCAACAACTTTGTTCGGCCCTCACGGCCCTTCACTTCATCAAATCTGGCCCTCTTTGAAAAAAGTTTGGACACCGCTGTTCTAGCTCCATCCAAAGGCCTAGTTAAGTTGAGGGGCTGATCATTCGTCTTTAGATTGAAACTTTCCCTGAGCCGCCTTCAAAGACTTTATTGAGGACAGGCTTCCAAGAAGCAAAGTGAATGAGAGATTCTTTCAGGCCCAGGGAGGTGAGGAGGGGACAGAGATATGCTGGATGCCCCCAGCCTCTTTTCCCCACTGACCTGCCACCCCTACCTTATCCAGTGCCACAGAAGCTGCTTCCCTTCCACTCTGAAGAGGAGATGGCTGAGGAGGTCCTGCCAGCATCATCCAGTCACCTGTGATGGGGGAAAATGTGGTGGGAAGCCAGCAGCACTTCCTTGTTTCAGAGGTTATGTGATAAACATTTATCTACAAATGAGTCTTTATAAATACATGTGTTTATACCTAATCTGTGTATCAGCTGTGTAAAATCACCTAAGGGAAATTGGGAGCAGTGAAAAAGGCTGCAGGGAAGTCTCGTCTGCTGCCAATGATTAAAAGAGCCCGGAGATTTATTTCACACGCAACAGAGGGAGACCAAACTGAGATGCATCCCAACCATCCTTACCTAGTGGCCTCTGTCTGCTGTCCAATGGAATCATCTCCATCTCAGCGAAATCAGTGTCCATTTTTGCAAGCAGATCGTGTCCCTGAAACAGTAATAAGGAGTCAAAACAGGGATCGAGAAGAAGGAAGGATGGAGGTTTTCGGAAAACCTTCATCTGGATGCTTTCCAAAAAAAGTTGGGATAGTAGCCGAGAATTTTGAGATACCCTCCCTCACATTCTGAATGCCTTGGGAACCATCATGGTGAAACATTCTCACCTGTTGCTGTTCCTGCTTCCTGTCCTCTGCCTGGCTCAGGAGGAAACCTTCAGCCAGGGCCACCGCCTGGGAGCTGGTCTCTGCCCCACACTCCCTCACCCAGCTCTGCATCTCCAGGGGGAGGACAGCCAGGAACTGCTCCAGGATCACCTGGTCCAGTATTTGAGTCTTGGTGTGTTGCTCTGGCTTCAGCCACTGGCGGCAAAGATGATGGAGTTGGTTGCAAACCTCTCGGGGTCCTTTGGCTTCGTGGTAGCAGAAATGTCTGAACTGCTGCCGCTGCACATCTGAACTGAGGGTATCCTCACCCAGGACCTTCCAGAATACTCCAGAGCTCCCAGGCTTGATGGTACTGTGGCCTCTTCCTGTTTCAGGGCCAGCTGAGTTTTGCTCTTCCATCTCTGCTCCAAGGTAGCTTCTAAGAGGTCCAAAGGAATTCTTTTGTCTTAGGTCAATTTCAGTCTGTCCGAATTAGAAGTGATGCCAACCCCTACAAAACAAAGACATTGTTGTGTTATGGGATTGCTACACTGTCAGGAAAGGGGAAATATTCTCCAAGCAAGCCTGGATGAGTTTCGCTAGAACCCAGGGCCAGATTATAGCGGTGCAGCAGGAGTCTCTAGCTCTCCTAAAAGGAAGGCTACAAAACAAAATACGCAGGCCACCGTCTAAACCAGCATTACTCAAAGCATACAGAAAGAAAGGTGGTTTTGCTGCTATTTTTCAAGGCTGGCAAATTGGTCGGTGTTCTGTACTTTGCTGCAAAAGTGGGATTGTAGCAATTGAAGCATGGGGGGTGAGGAGATGATTTCTTCCCTGGCTTTTTGTTACAGCACTCCTTAAAACAACAAAAATATAGCTTGGAATCTGTGGGAATCCATTACTTCTCCTCTCCCATTAATAACAACAATAATTTTATCATCTGTACCCCACTCATCTGACTGGGTTTCCAATATACATTGCAAAGGTATGTTTACTTTCATTCTGGCTCTCTCCTGCATTTGAGTCCTCTGATTATTACCCTCCAATAGTTCTGAACAGTGCTTTGTATTCGGTCTCAAATCACCCTCTCTGTCCCACAGCAGTTGCACGTCTGAATGGTGTCTCCAGAAGCCTTGGCGAAGCCACTGCCTGATTCATGGGGAGGCGCCACTAAATCTAATCAAAGCTCAATTGGAGATACCCTTGCACCGAGATCAACTTTAAATCCTCCCCTCCCTGCAATATTTCAAAACGCATCTCCTGCCTTTGCACAGAGGGAGAGAAAAAGGCTGCCCTCCCTGTTTGGGGGGGGAGCATCCTGGATGGATCAGGTCCCCTTTGCACCCTCTCCTTCCCGCAGCCCTGGGACTCTCCTTCGCCCAAATGCACAAAATAAAGGGGGAACAACTCACCGGCTCCCAGAAGGGTCGCCCCAATGCAGCGCTGGGAGAGACAAAGACCACGTTTGTCCCCCCCCCACAGGGAGAAGCCAGGCAGGAAGGGGCTTGGGAGGGAAGGGCTTTCTCTCCTGGAGGACTCCGCACTCCTCCCCTCCTGGTCCCCTTCCTCTCTAGGAATGCAATTTGGTTCGCTTTAACCCTTACAAAGCCAAAAAGGCGAGAGGGGCTGCCTGTAACTCAAGAGGCAGGGCAGCTGCTCTTTGCAGGCAGAAGCCCCCCGAGATCAATGCTGGACATTGTTGTTGTTTTTTAAGGTGACAAGTTATGGGGAAAACTTCTAGGGGAAGAGAGATCGCCAAGCAGCAGGATCAGCTCCTTCTGCATCTCTCCGTGCACTCCAAATACATCCAAAGCACATTTAACCCCTGCAGAAGAAACACGAGGAACTGTGGTTTGTGTTTGTGTGCCTATTGTCTTATCTCAGCACATTAAATCTTGGTTTGCCCTCTGTATATGTGTGTGTTTCTTCTTCTTCTTCTTCTTCTTTTATTATTATTATTATTATTATTATTATTATTATTATTATTATTATTATTATTATTATTACCTTCCTGCTGTCGCTGCCTTCTGGCCCAAGAGGGAATGGATATCTTTTTTACACGTTCCTGAAGTGATGAAGCATCGCTTCCAGGAGAGTGGCAGCAATTACTGGTGTTAAGATAAAAGGACCCCTGACCATTAGGTCCAGTCGCGGTTGACCCGGGGGTTGCGGCGCTCATGTTCCTTTATTGGCGAGGGAGCCGGCGTACAGCTTCCGGGTCATGTGGCCAGCATGACTAAGCCGCTTCTGGCGAACCAGAGCAGCACACGGAAATGCTGTTTACTTTCCCGCCGGAGTGGTACCTATTTATTTACTTGCACTTTGATGTGCTTTCGAACTGCTAGGTTAGCAGGAGGTGTTACTGGTGTTAAAGGTAAAGGTACCCCTGCCCGTACGGGCCAGTCGTGTCCGACTCTAGGGTTGTGCGCTCATCTCACTCTAGAGGCCGGGGGCCAGCGCTGTCCACCGACACTTCCGGGTCACGTGGCCAGCGTGACGAAGCTGCTCTGGCGAACCAGCACCAGCGCAGCGCACGGAAATGCCGTTTACCTTCCCACTATAAAGCGGTACCTATTTATCTGCTTGCACTTAAGGGTGCTTTCGAACTGCTAGGTGGGCAGGAGCTGGGACCGAACGACGGGAGCGCACCCCACCGCGAGGATTCGAACCGCCGACCATGCGATCGGCAAGTCCTAGGCGCTGAGGTTTTACCCACAGCGCCACCCACGCTGCTTCTGAAAGAGGAGACTGGCAGACCAGGGTTCCTGAGCTGGAATGGGGAGCCCCTAAGTTGGAAGTAAACAGCCAAATGTAAAGATCATTTCTGCATTGCATGGGGTTGGACTAGATGACCCCCGGGGTCCCTTCCAACTCCACAATTCTACGATCATAGGGCACCACTGAAGCTGATCAGTTACAGGCAGCCCAGTCCTTTGGCTCAAGAAATCAGAAGCTCTGGAGCAACACACACGCCATACGTTTAAAGACATGTGCAAATCCTGGGAACTGTAGTGTACCCCTCGGAGGTACAGTTCCCAGCACTTTTCACAAACCACTTTTCACAAACCACAGTTGCAGTGTCTTGGGAATGTATGCAGCCTCAGACCGAAACACCCTCAAGTTCAGGGCCTGATTCCTCCTTTGAGAGTCGCAGAACAACAACAACTTTGAATTTATATCCCGCCCAACAACAACAACTTTTACAGTAATTTATATCCTGCCCAACTGACTGGGTTTCCCCAGCCACTCTGGGTGGGTTACAACATATAAAACACAACAAAACACCAAGCATATCCTATACAAGCAACAAACCAATAAATCTTTTTTTATAAATATTTATTAAAGTTTATCAAATACAAAGAAACGAAGAACAAACAATAAAAAGTTACAATAAAAAAGAAAGAAAAAAATATAGAAAAAGAAAAGCAAAACAGCAAAAAGACAAAAACATTTTAAAAACACCAACATTTAAAAAAGAAAAAGAAAAAACCCATGTTTCATATCCTTATTTTACATTTGCTTATTTCCTTGACTTCCTCAAACCTCCCTCTTTGCATTCCCAGTTCAATTAATTATTTCAGCAAGTCCTTTCCCTTTTTCTCCAATTTAAATCCAAACTTTTTCTTAACGCAATTTAGCCTTAAATTTTACACTTTAACCATAGTCGATTTATTTCTTACTTAATTCTTAGTAACATTTCTACTAAAGCCCAATACCTTCTTTCCAACAACCTCCTAGCATTCATTGATTTTACAATATTTCTGTAAATATACTTTACATTTTTTCCAATCTTCTTCCACCGACTCTTCTCCCTGGTCTCGAATTCTGCCGGTCATTCCCGCCAACTCCATATAGTCTATCAACTTCATCTGCCATTCTTCCCGGGTAGGTAGATCTTGTGTCTTCCAGTACTTTCAGTGGCGTAGCGTGGGGGGTGCAGGGGGGGCCGGCCGCACCGGGCGCAACATCTGGGGTTAGGGCAAATCCACAGGTTAGGGGGCGCAAATCCATGGGTTAGGGGGCGCAAATCCATGGGTTAGGGGGCGCAAATTACTTGCCTTGCCCCGGGTGCTGACAACCCACGCTACGCCACTGAGTACTTTGCAATAAGTATTCTCGCTGCAACAAACCAATAAATCAATAAAAGCAATAACAATAATATTAATAACAGCAATAATTATAATAATAATCAGTTTACAGTTATACCCGAATTAAGATAACTGACGTTGCAGCCTGACCATCTCTCTCTCTCCCTGGATCTCTTCCCCATCACTTGCCACGTGGAAATGCCGCGGATTGAACTTGGAGCTTCCGCACTCCTTTTGCAGGAGTTGCGCCACCGAGCTTCGCGCAGCCCCTCTCGCTGCTTGGCTTTCTAAGGGTTAAAATGGGCCGGAACTGGTTTCCTAGAGAGGAAGGGAAATGGGATTTGGGGGCGAGGGAGGGGGAACATTCCTCCCCACGGTGCCCCTTCCTGGCTTCCCACCTTCGGGGTCCGAAAGTGGCCTTTGTGCCTCGCAAGTGCTACATCGGTGGACACCTCTGAGGTTTGGTGAGTCTCTATTTCCGCGCCCCCCCACGCCCCAATTTGATGCATTTGGGTAAAGGGGATTCCCAGGGCTGCAGCGGGGAGGGTGCCTCTCAGCTGATCCATCCGAGATCCCCCCCGCCAGAGCACCCAAGTCAGGGATCAGGTCTATTCCCTCTCTGCAGGGTCAAGAGGCCGCTTTGGAATTATTATTATTATTATTATTATTATTATTATTATTATTATTATTATTATATCAAATTCATAAATTCATATACTGCCCTATACTCGCAGGTCTCAGGGCGGTTCACAGAATAAAATCAAAATATAAAACCGCAAAATGCATAATCAAAATCAACAGCAATCCAATAACCCGCCCTCCCCAAAAAGCCCAGATTTTAAAAGAGCATAGGATGTCAATCATACCGGAGGGAAGTGTCTAAAGTACCACGCTGAGCTGACCTCAATGGAAGTGCGCATTTGACTGCAATTTGATTAGAATTATAATGCACCCCTCCCCCCCCCAAAAGCAAGTGGAGATATCAAGCCTCCTGACTGACCTGCATGTGCCCATTCAGACATGCAACCCCCAAACATGAGACTGAACGGAAAACATTCCTTAAAACTACAAGCGGTCTTTTAATCAAAGGAATCCAATGCAGCAGAGACCACTGAATGAAAGCAAACCAGCGTGGTCGAATAGATTTGTTTAGTGGGTGTGTAAGGGGAAAATTCGTCCCCTCTCCACAAAACATAATCCAGATTCCCATTTTAAAAGAGAGAGAAAGTTTCCCGTATTTGTAGAAACTGAGGCAGTGTGTGTGTGTGTGTGTGTGTGTGTGTGTACATTTTGGGGGATAAACTAGCCTCCTCCCACCTTTCAGTGTTTTACCCCTTCGGAAGGAAGGGTGGGATATAGATTGAATACTTAATATTCATAGCAATGCTTTGCTCCTCCCTGGGGGAAATTCTCATGACTGCCCCACATCCTGTTGTATGAAAGGGAAATAATCCCCTTTAATAATCCCCTCTCTGGCCAATTGGTGGTGGGGCACTGCAGAGCCCCATTGCTCACACCTGCCAGGACAGAATCGCAGGGCACTTTCAGTCACACACAATGACTGTGTAGAAGGATTTGCAGAAAACAACCTTTTCGTGATCTCAGATGTTACAAAAAAGCTGCCTTTAGCTTGCTAGGCTGAAAAGGATGCACTAAATCAGGGTGTGTTGTGGGACAGTCTCTCTTCGGGACCCTGGGTGATTCCTAACTTTTGCCTGATGTTCAAAAACAACTCACTTGTTATGACAGTTCTGAATTCACTCTTTGCTTTAATGCAATGAAAGGAAGGGTGTTGAGGAACCAGGCTGACTCCCTTGCCTTTGCAACACCATCGAGAAGCAGAGAGAAGCAGCCAGCCTTGCTTATATCTAAGGGTGAGGCTGGGGAGTGTTGAGGCTGCAAGGCCCACCTGGAAGGGTGCTGAGGCCTAGGAGTGTCCCGTGGCCTGTAGTTTGAGGAAAGCTGGCGTAAAAGGTGGCCGGCACATTTTGCTTCATAACTTTCAGTCGAGGAGGGTTATTGCATCACTATAATATGGCCTGGTTGCTAGAAAGAACCCTCCAGGCTGGCTCAGGGAACATTTTTTCCTCTCCTGGCAGTGTAGCATCTAATAACAGAACAATGTCTTGGCTTTATAGGTCTTTGTAGCGCTTCTAACCAGGGAAGACTGAAATTGGCAGAAGACCGAAGACTTCCTTCAGACCTCTTGGAGGCCTCCTTGGAGCATAGATGGAAGAGGAAAACTCGGCAGGCCCCGAAAAAGGAAGAGGCCGTGATGCCATCAAGACCGGGAGCAGTAGGGGATTCTGGGAGAGAACAGTGCAGAAGATCCTGGGTGAGGAGGACAAGCTCAGCTCAGATGTGCAGCGCCTGCAGTTCAGGGCGTTCTGCTACCAGGAGGCCAAGGGGCCCCGAGAGGTTTGGAGTCAACTCCACCATCTTTGTCGTCAGTGGCTGAAGCCGGAGCAGCACACCAAGACTCAGATCCTAGACCAGGTGATCCTGGAGCAATTCTTGACTGTCCTTCCACTGGAGATGGAGAGCTGGGTGAGGGAGTGTGGAGCGGAGACCAGTTCCCAGGCAGTGGCCCTGGTCGAAGGTTTCCTCCTGAGTCAAGCAGAGGTCAAGAAGCAGAAGGAGCAGCAGGTGAGAGTTTCGTCTAGATAATCCCAAGGGGCGCAGAATGTGAGGGAGGGCGTCCCAAAAATTCTCTTAATTTTTTTTTTGGGGGGGGGAAACATCCAAAGAAGAATATTCAGCAACTCTTCGGTTCCTACCTCTGTCATGGCTTTTCGAATCCTTCTCTCCATTTGATGTCTTCCATCCTCGTTACTGTTTCAGATACAGGATCCGTTTGCAAAAAAGGGCAGTGATTTCCTAGAGGTGGAGAGGGATCCATCGGACACCAGACAGGGACCACTGGGTGAGGATTGATCTTAATCTGGTCTATTGATTTTGAAATAAATCCATGGGCCCCTTTAATCATTTGGATTAGTAAATTGTTGTCTTCCAGCCTTTTCCACCACTGAGAAATGTGTTGATTTACAACATTTCAGCATTTATACAGGGGGACCAGCATTTCAACCTTTTTTTCCAAGCATCCAAAGCAGGAGAGATGTGTTCCACATTATAACATAAAATGAGTAGAAACACAGAATAGGTATCTTCTAAGATCCATGTGGCGGGTGGTGCTGTGGTCTAAACCCTTGAGCCTGGGGCTTGCCGACCCGTTGCTCGGTCCCACCTAGCAGTTCGAAATCACGTCAAAGTGCAAGTAGATAAATAGGTACCGCTCTGGCGGGAAGGTAAACGGCGTTTCTGTGCGCTGCTCTGGTTCGCCAGAAGCGGCTTAGTCATGCTGGCCACATGACCAGGAAGCTGTCTGCGGACAAACGCCGGCTACCTTGGCCTATAGAGTGAGATGAGCGCGCAACCCCAGAGTCGTCTGTGACTGGACCTAATGGTCAGGGGTACCTTTACCTTTAATATCCATGTGTAGTTAGGCATGCATTGCTGAATCTCGGAGACAAGCGTCCTGGCTTCTATCCCCCTTTATATCTTGCAGGTGAAGGAATGATTTCAGCAAGATCACCTCAGACATCTCCTCATTGCAGTGGAAGGGTAGCAGTTTCAGTGGAACAAGATCAGGTAAGGAAAGGGAGACTGGGGGCAGTCTGGGTGCTCCTGCCCCCTCCTTCAGACTTTAGCAATCTCTCTCTCTTCCACTTTGCTTTCAAAGCTACTCAGAGAATGTTTTAATCCTGAGAATAAAGAGCCATGTCGCCTAGCAGTTAGCTATCAATTTTAGGTTCTTCCTTATTCTACATTCTTTTGCGCCAGAGTCAATTATCTAATGTCTGCCAGTTGCATCCTCTGAAGTTGGGAAACCTGGTCTCAGCTCCCTAGACGGTCCCATGCTTATTTTAGAGGCCACAGAGGGTCTATTTCCCACAATTCAGGTAGGTAGCCGTGTTGGTCTGATGCAGTCGAAATACATATAAAAAAATTAAAATTGTCCAGGAGCACCTTAGAGGCCAGCTACGTTTGTTCTCTGTATAAGCTTTCATGAGCATGCACGGGGTCTTGTCATGTGTGCAGCCTAGGATCCCCAGACACACTTCTCAGGCTTGCACCCCAGGGAGGTCACTTTGGTGCTGCTAATTCTGTGGTTTGACTTCACCCCCGGAGGAACACTCCATTGTCTCTCGAGACAGACAGGTGCCAGCAAGACTTATTAGCAGCGTAAAAACCACTTACACAGATACTAAAATATAGGTAAAGGTAAAGGGACCCCTGACCATTAGCTCCCATCGTGACTGACTCTGGGTTGCAGCGCTCATCTCGCTTTATTGGCTGAGGGAGCCGGCGTACAGCTTCTGGGTCATGTGGCCAGCATGACAAAGCTGCTTCTGGTGAACCAGAGCAGCGCATGGAAACGCCGTTTACCTTCCCGCCGGAGCGGTACCTATTTATCTACTTGCACTTTGATGTGCTTTTGAACTGCTATGTTGGCAGGAGCAGGGACCGAGCAACGGGAGCTCACCCCGTCGTGGGGATTCGAACCGCCGACCTTCTGATCGGCAAGTCCTAGGCTCTGTGGTTTAACCCACAGCACCAACCACGTCCCAACTAAAATATAAATGCCCACTTTTAAAATGGGAAATAAAAGAACCCAATTAAGAAAGCACAGCACTTCATAGATAGAATATATTGGACAGCAAATAGTAGTAGAAAGTTTTTATTCTTTCTATCAGGAGGACATAATTTCTTTTAATTTTAGGGTACAGTTTTCTTTGAGGATGTGGCTGTATACTTCACGGATGAGGAGTGGGCCCTGCTGAATCCTGACCAGAGAACGCTGCATAACAGTGTCATGGAGGAGAACTGTGTGATCGTGGCGTCTCTTGGTATGGCTCCCCGTTGGATGATAATATCTGCTGTGAAATTCAATATGTCTGTTTTATGATGAATGATCTGATGCAGCTCAGTGGCACCACGTACAGCATTTGGACAAGTATCGACTGTGTTGTCTCAGGACTCATACACCAGTTATGCCCTTCTCAAGAATTATCAGACTGGTCTGAACTTCCCAGGCCTTTGAAATGTGAGTTTCAGGGTTCTTCAGGGTAGAAGTAGCCCCTCGTTAATTTTCTGGTTGGCCAAAGGAAACCACTGACTTCAGAGATGGATTTCATGATTGGCCCAAACAGCAATCCATCTCAGAAAAGAGGTGGGCTTTTACTCATCTCAGATTCCCATAGCTATAGGCCGCTTTTGCCTTCGTAGAAATATCTCTTCAAGAGTCCTCCCTACCCAGAGTCCTACCCACCCCTAATAATAATAATAATAATAATAATAATAATAATAATAATAATAATTTTTATTTATACCCCGCCCTCCCTGGCCAGAGCCAGGCTCAGGGTGGCTAACACCAATAAAATTTCAGTAAAAACATAATAGGAAAAAAGAAAAAGAAAAAGAACAATTTAAAATACAGGTTAAAATGCAATTTAAAATGCAGCCTCATTTTAAAAGTCAAAACTGTAAGGGGAGGGAAACATAAGGGTCAGACTGAGTCCAAATCATAGGCCAGGTGGAACAGCTCTGTCTTGCAGTCCCTGCGGAAAGATGTCAAGTCCTGCAGGGCCCTAGTCTCTTGTGACAGAGCTTTCCACCAAGTTGGGGCCAGTACTGAAAAGGCCCTGGCCCTAGTTGAGACCAGTCTAACCACTTTGTGACTTGGGACCTCCAAAATGTTGTCATTTGTGGACCTTAAGGTCCTCCGCGGGGCATACCAGGAGGTCCCGTAGGTATAATTTGTATAATTTGCTATTTGGCTTAACTGCCTTTCATGGGCAATTGTAGATGAACTTCAAAGTGATAAATCTCAGGCTCATCAGCTGATCAGCTCCAGGAGCCTTATCAGGTGACCTAGGCAGTTCCTGATGAAGGATTCCCTAATACTGCTGATCCCAGTGGGGCATCCTGACAGAGACGATCAGCTGATGGTTACTGAGAGGGAGCCCCCACCAGCAAGGAGCAATCAGGAGTGTATTTTAAGCTCCTCGTTCTTCATTTACAGCAACGTTTTACCTTCCCACACCAGAAGTTGCAGGTCCAGCAGAAAACAACCTCACAGACCCTCATCAGACGCACGTGCCAGAGGTTCACCGCCTTTGCTTTAGCTAGAGAAGTCAGGGATTGCCCATGGAACTTCTAAGCCCAACCTTTACATTCTATCATATTTTCATCTTTTCTATTACTCCTCACAGTTCTGAAGAGAATGGACATGGTTGTATCATTTACCTGCACATCAACCTTGTGAAGTAGGCTAGACTGAAAGGGAGAGTGATTGGTCAAAGATGACCCAATGATCTTCGACACTAAGCCGAACCCAGTTTTACACATGCCAGATTCAACAGTCTTTAGCAAGCCAGCTCTCAGTTAATGCTGGCGACCAAAGGGAGTTAATTCTTTGTAGTAAGATCTGCCTCTCATCAAAGTCCCTTCATTTCTTCCTTCGTCACAACCATTATTGGGCATTGTTCAGTAATTTGGGGTTCCGTTTCCTCCTAAGGATCTCTAATAAGTTTTTGTTGTCTTTGCAGAAGGTGACAAATTGGAAACCAAGAATCAGGGAGACCATGACAAACTCCACACAGTAGAGAAGCCATATGAATATCTGGAGTGTGGAGAGAGCATCTATCAGAGTTCCCATCAAGGAATTGACAACAAGGCGAAACTTTATCAGTGCTTGGAATGTGGGAAGAACTTCAGCTGGAAGAAAAATCTCACTTCCCATCAAAGAATTCATACCGAAGAGAAGCGATATCAGTGCTTGGATTGTGGAAAGAGCTTTAACAGAAGCACAGATTTCTGTCGTCATCAAAGAATTCATACAGGGGAGAGGCCGTACGAATGCTTAGAATGTGGAAAGAGCTTCAGTCAGAGCTCCAACCTCCATGCCCATCAAAGAATTCACAGTGGGAACAAACCCTACCAGTGTCTGGAATGTGGGATTGGCTTCACCACCAAGAGAAGTCTCACTTCCCATCAAAGAATTCATACTGGGGAGAGACCATATCAGTGTCTGGAATGTGGTAAGAGCTATAGCTGGAAGGACAGTCTCACTTCCCATCAAAGGATTCATACAGGGGAAAAACCCTATCAGTGCTTGGAGTGTGGAAAGAGCTTCCACAGAAGCACACATTTCCGCCGCCATCAAAGAATTCACAGCGGGGAGAAACCCTACCAGTGCTTGGAATGTGGGAAGACCTTCAGCTGGAAGGAAAGTCTCACTTCCCATCAGAGAATCCATACAGGGGAGAAACATTATCAGTGCTTGTAAATGTGAAAAGAGTTTTATTAAATGTACCATTTTCCATCTTCATCAAGGTATTCACAGCGGGAAGAATCCATATCGGTGCCAGGAGGGTGCCCCATCCTACTCTTTTTTTTGTAATAGGGCAACAAAAAGAACATAATAGCACCTTCAAGACTTCGCACATGTATTCTGGCAGAAGATTGTGAGGTTTTGAGAAGGAGTGGGAAGGGATGTTAAATGATGATGATGATGATGATAAAAATAATAATTTATTTGTACCCTGCCCATCTGGTTGGGTTTCCCCAGCCACTCTGGGCGGCTTCCAACAAAGATTAAAATACATTAAAATGTCACACATCCAAAACTTCCCTAAACAGGACTTTTGCTTGAAATTTCACTTGGTGGGACACTGCCCCAATAGACTCTTATGCAGCCTACAGTGCTTGGAGTTTGGAAAGAGCTTCAAAGAAACACAAATATCCATTGCCATCAATGAATTTAAAAGGGGAAAACTGTATTAACACTTGGGAGAGTGATGCTCACTTATCAGAGAAATCACATGGGGTGAATCCATAAAAATGCTTCCATCCAAATTTTTCCCTTCTTCCCATCAGGGAATTCATATAGAGAGCCATCATGCAAATTGGTCATATCCAGTGTTAATCTTGCTTAGAGTAGACCAAGGTGGTCCAGCTTTTTTTCGTGGCCCCCACAATATTCAAGTGGGGGGGGGGAATCTTAAAGCCTTTTAAAAAATTGTGTGTGTGTCATTGTTAACGAAAGCACCTACATCTATTTGTGTATTAAATTTGTTTTAATAATTAAATATATTAAATATACTATATGTGTATTTAATTATATACTGTATGTTTCATGAATTTCCTTAATTGTGTATATTAAATAATATTAACTATATTGTGAACACTTCAATTTACGATATAGAAATTTAATTCATTGTGTGGCCCCTGTGTTCTTGCAGCCCCCTTGGTATGAAAAGTTGGACCGCCCTGAAATTAACAGACCCAAGTTGTTGTGTTCATTAAGTTCAGTGGGTGTACTTTGGGCAGGATTAACATTAGATACAACCCACTGCTATGCATGGGGAAAGGAAATGCTTCAGGCAGGAAGTGAGCAACTAGAAACTGTCCATATCTTTATGTAATTATCTAAAAAAAATTGCAACAGGGACACTCTTGTTTTCCCTGAGTAGTTTTTATCCATTGATGGGACTGTGCAGCAGGTGAATAAAGCCCTATAAGAGATAGAGATGCTCTGTGTCAATCAGTACTTCCTTAAACCTGCCCTGAATCTCTCACCAGTCAGTTTCATGGGACAGAGGACTATGAAGGGGAGGGGAAAACTGCTCTCCACAATTTCTCATCACACCATTCAGGACTTTTTGCACAGACTGTCTTGAAGGCTAATTCATATCAAAGCTGCCACTCAGCTCTAGAAATGCTCATTGATTAAATTTTCAGACCAGAAGATCTTTTTTCCCCCCAATATAGATTTGTTTTTTCATCATTACAGTTTTCATACATTATTACAAAAATTGAGACATTTACTTCCCTTCCGCCTTTCCATGGCTTGATCTTTTACTGTCTTTTACCACTGCATATTCTAATCCATATCTTCTTTTTTCACATTCTATTTCCATATATTTTATACTGCTGAATTTATTCTAAACCTGCTGTTTTGACCTGTTTACAATAATTCTCAGTTTATTTATTGGCCTATTGAGCTCACCTACATTTCCGACTAAATCATAACTATTTCCCCCCCTTTATGTAGGACATAGCGGTGACCATCTGGAACTGGGGTTCACCAGTTGTGTTCTGGTGGGGGGTATTTCTCTCACACACAACCCCAATTGCACGGCACCTTTTTTGCGTCCTGCTTGAAGAATCCTCTCCCCCTCCGATCAGGGCTGGGCCACGGGCAAAAATGCACCAGAGGACATAAGTTGGCACCTAGACAGCATCTTAAGAAGGAGAGACATCACCTTGCCGACAAAGGTCCATATAGTTAAAGTTATGGTTTTCCCAGTAGTGATGTATGGAAGTGAGAGCTGGACCATAAAGAAGGCTGATCGCCAAAGAATTGATGCTTTTGAATTATGGTGCTGGGGGAGACTCTTGAGAGTCCCATGGAGTGCAAGAAGATCAAACCTATCCATTCTGAAGGAAATCAGCCCTGAGTGCTCACTGGAAGGACAGATCGTGAAGCTGAGGCTCCAATACTTTGGCCACCTCATGAGAAGAGAAGACTCCCTGGAAAAGACCCTCAGGAGAAGGGGACGACAGAGGGCGAGATGGCTGGACAGTGTTCTCAAAGCTACTAACATAAGTTTGACCAAACTGCGGGAGGCAGTGGAAGACAGGAGTGCCTGGCGTGCTCTGGTCCAGGGGGTCACGAAGAGTCGAAGAGCGGACACGACTAAATGACAACAATGCGTGGGGGACATAGGAGCCAACTCCCATAGGCCAGGTTCCTTCAGGTCCCACAATAAAATATTGGAGGGGGCTGCCCCCATGTTGACTTGTATTGCTATTCAAATGGTATGTCCATGCCACATCATGTGATTGATTATGCAGGGTGGGGCTTACGAGCCCCACTCCCACTATTTTGTTCAAGTTGGCACACCCTCTTCCACCTTCCCAAAAGCTCTGCCCCCATTTTCTCCCAATTTAACTGGCTGATCTCCCCCCATCTCCATCTCCATCTCTACCTTTCCCAGGCTCCTTCCCTCTCCAGGCCATCTGACTCCCCACTTCACCCACAACGCAAAGGGGAGCCCACCCCAGCCTGGGAGGTAAACTCCAGACGCAGCCCTTACAGCAAAAGAAGGAACCCAGCCATTTCCCATACCCCACGCAGCCTTTGCAGCGGAGGTGGAGGTGAAGGCGGAGGCAGGAAGCAGCTGGCAAGTTGCTTTGGAGCATGGGTAGGCACACTAAAGCCCGGGGGCTGGATCCGGCCCAATCACATTCTAAATCCGGCCCGCGGATGGTCCAGGAATCAGCGTGCTTTTGCATGAGTAGAATGTGTCCTTTTATTTAAAATGCATCTCTGGGTGATTTGTGGGGCATAGGAATTTGTTCTTCTACTTCCCCCCAAAAAATATAGTCTGGCCCCCCACAAGGTCTGAGGGACAGTGGACTGTCCCCTGCTGAAAAAGTTTGCTGACCCCTGTCTGGGGGACCCAGTCCCCATCACCATTCTTTTCTCCTTTAGGAAACCACCCCTCAACTTCAGGTTCACATTCGACTATTGTCATGAATGGGGCAGAAACATGTACAATGTGTTTTGCCTCTCATTTCTTTCCAGTCTTTGCATTGCTTTCCGCTTCCCCCACCCACCCACTGCAATTCCCCCCCCATGTTCGCTTGGGAACCCGAAGTGCCGCTGAGTCTTCATCCGGCCGGTTGAGCCCCATCTGTGAGCGTTTCCTCTTTGGCGCCTGCTTTGAGAGAGAGACCGTGCTGCATGGCCTCCTCAGGGTTAAAAGCAACTGAGCTAGGTTCCTAGAGAGGAAAAGCGTGGGGGTGGGGAAAGGAATTTAGGGAGGAGGGCAGCAGGGATCCTCCAGAGCCAATGCTGCTCTGCCTTGGTGGCTTCTTGGGTGGGGGCGAAAGTGGGCTTTGACTCACCCATGAGCTGCATCGATGGCCCCTTCTGTAACCTGGTGAGTGTCTCCCCAATTTGTGCAACGCTGAGCTGAGCTCTAGGGAAATTCATCCTTAGCTGCACGTATGATATAAGAATTTTATTGGACACCCAGCTGTCATTTTGCCTACTCTAGGGCATATAAATAAATGCCTGATGACACCCCCAAGACACCCCAACTCCTTCCCCACACTCCCTAGGATAGAAACCCTTCCCCGAGCTGCCAAGTTTCTGAGCTGCAATAGAACGTTGAGAAAATGCCTTTATCTCAGTTTCAAGACTGAATAAACGGCATCCATTTTCCCCCCTATAACAAATGCATTTAGTGTGCCACCTGGAAATTGTAGCGACTTTTCTCTGTATCTAAACTGTGTCCCCTAGGTGGGGACTCAATTTACTGCGTATCTTGATTTGTATCTACATGTTTATCTCCTGATCTGTAAATTAATGGCATTGTCAATGCCGCTGGTAAATCCTTTTTCTATGTTCCTGGGAAGAGAGCAAATACAGGGAAATTAACTCAGTCACAAATGCTGAATACGTATTAACTTGTCAATGAAATACCAATTTTCTGTAACCCACCCTAAACCAACTTTCCCAACAGAGCTCCCCCAACTCACCTTTCTGATGTGTACTGTCCTAATTTTCTATATACAACTGAGAGAGGGAGGAGCTGTGAACAACAGAGCTGTTGGATGGATGCTGCACCTTATTTATGTATTTATTTGTTAACAAGGAACTCAAGGTAGTAAATATGCTTCTTCCTCTCCTCATCTTATCCTCACAACCACCCTGTGAGGTAGGTTGGGCTGAAAGGCAGTGACTGGCCAAAGGTCACCCAGTGGGCTTCTTGGTTGGGTAGCAACTAGAACCCTAGTCTCTTCCAGGTCTTAGCTCTACACCAAACCAGCTCCCTTCTGACCTTCAACCAGGTTGAAGGCTTTGATCCATGGCCCACACATGAAGGAACCTCTCCAGAAGCTCATCTTAGAGTCCTCTTGTCATTCACCTGCCCTTCGTTCTGATGGGTGGCTGGACTCATTCACATTTCCTTAGGGAAATTTTCATGTCCCGACAGCATAATTCACTCACCCTACGTCTTGAATTTTTAGGACTTGGCAGTGACTCCAGTAACAGCAGTCTTCGGCAGAAGCAAGAGAAGCTTCTTGGACCCTGTTGGAGGGAACAGAGATCAAAGATGGAAGAGAAAGACTCAGCTGGGCCTGAAGCAGTAAGAGGTCTGTTTATCATCCAGGCCAGGAGCCCTGGGGAACCGTGGGAAAGAACAGGATGGAAGATTCCAGGTGAGGACACCGTCAGCGCAAATGTGCAATGCCAGAAGTTCAGGCATTTCCACTACCAGGAGGCTGAGGGGCCCCGAGAGGTTTGCAGCCGACTTCACCATCTTTGCCGTCAGTGGCTGAAGCCGGAGAGACGCACCAAGACTGAGATGCTGGACCTGGTGATCCTGGAGCAGTTTCTGGCTGTTCTCCCCCCAGAGATGGAGAGATGGGTGAAGGAGTGTGGAGCAGAGACCAGTTCCCAGGCGGTGGCCCTGGCCGAAGGTTTCCTCCTGAGTCAGGCAGAGGAGAGGAAGCAGGCAGAGCAGCAGGTGAGGTTGTCATCTGGACCAGGGGTCTCCCAAACTGTGGTCTGTGAACTGCTAGTGGTCCATGAGTTTTATTCAGTTTATCAACGTTAAATATTTATATTTACTTTTAATTGCGTCTTGGTTGCTTATTTTATTTCTTGTATTTTAATGCATAACAAATTGAATTCTGTGGAACACAAAAAATGAAAGCATCCAAGGAAAGACTTCTAATAACCCTTCAGGTTTCTGCCTCTGCCGTTCCTTTTCCAATCCTTCTCCACAGCTGATGTCTCCAGTTCTTAATGTTGTTTCAGGTTACAGGTCTATTTGCCAAAGCTGGCCTGGATTTCCTAGAGGCAGAGAGGGCTCCATCAGACACTGGACAGGAGCCACTGGGTAAGAACCTCCTTGTTAGAACAGTTACATTGGCTTGCAGTCTGATTCCAGGTGCAATTCAAAGTGCTGGTTATGAGCTATAAAACCCTATACCGCTTAGGTCCAAGCTATCTGAAAGACCATATTTCCTTTGGGAATTGACTGTTTTTTAAGGCAAGGGCTTTTACTAGTGGAAAAGGGCTTTTACTAGTGCTGTTTTTAATATCTGTATCTTAATAGATTTGTTTTTATAATGTTTTAATTCTTCTAGAGTTTAACCATCATTTTAATTATTCTCTTTTTATGTTTTAGCTTTTTGTACTTCATCTGTGTGGTTATAATTAATGTAAGCTGCCTCAAGTCCTGGTCTGGGGATAAGACAGGATATAAATAAATATAATAATAATGATGACTGATGGGATGTATCTCAACTGGGTTTATCTTGGTCAAGTGTTAAATAAATCCACAGGCTCCTTTAATCTTTTGGGGGAAGAAACTGGCAGCCCAGAGCCCCAAAGGGAAGAGATATCCTTTCACACACATATAAAATGGAATATAAGGCTCTGAAATATGCTTAACAGATAAAAAAATTTCTAACACCCATGTGTATTTAGGGATGCATCGATTAACCTATGAGAGGAGCAAGTGCTCCTGGCTTATCGCCAGCTTTTTCTCTCTCAGGTGATGAAATGATGCTGGCAAGACCTCATCAGCCATCTCTGCTTCGTGGTGAAGGGGAAGCAGTTGCCATTGAACTGGGTCAGGTAGGGAGGACAGATCACAGGAGGCAGGCTACTCGGTCCCCACCTCCCTAGGCCTGAACTGAAATCCCTGCTTCTTGGTTCTTCTGTCAGAACTGCCTGGAAGGAAGTCAAATATTTAAATCATTCCATGGAATTCAAATTGTCACATGATAAAATGCAATATAGGAAATAAAAGTACAATTAAAAATCATACAACATCCACAGGGCAAAGTGTTTGGGAACCAAGGTAATAGATGCCACAAACTATTGTCTATAGAGGAGATTTCATTTCTGCAGAATAGCCCCTCTTCCTTGAAGAGTCTCATGGATTTGGGGAATCAATATATCTTAATGTAATCTTTCAACTATTTCCCTTTTTCTCAGAGTCCCGTGTCCTTTGAGGAGGTGGCTGTGTACTTCACCAAGGAGGAGTGGGCACTTCTGGATCCTGATCAGAGAGATCTGCATAAAGAAGTCATGGAGGAGAATTGTGGGATGGCAACCTTTCTTGGTAAGGGTCGAAGTTTCACTTGTCCAGGAGCAGAGAATCTTCAGCATTACAGACATTACAGGACTGCAACACCCATAATTTCTGTACTAGTTTACAACTGTTTAGAAAGTCTAGCAATCTATCAACTTTTAGCATTATATGTCTTTGCACATTTCTTAAAGTGGATAAATTTTATTGATTAAAACATTAGCAACTAAAACCTTAGCATTTTTACCTCAGGTTCTTACCTGTTTTCTATCTTTGTTGCAGCATGTGAAAAAAGCTTTTGTCAAAGTTTTAGCCTCACTACCCCTCAAAGGATCCACATTGGGGAGAAGCCATATAAATGTTTTGGAGGTGCAAAGCGCTTAAATGAGAAGACAGGCCTCATGACACATCCAAGAATTCACACAGGAGAGGAACCACACCAGTGCTTGGAGTGTGGAAAGAGCTTCAGTGATATGAAAGCTTTCACTACTCATCAAAGAACCCACACTGTGGAAAAGCCATATAAGTGCTTGGAGTGTGGAAAGAGCTTCCGACAGAACATAACTCTCAGCTATCATCAAAAAACTCACACAGGGGAAAAACCCTATGAATGTTTGGACTGCGGAAAGAGCTTCATTCGAAAGATAAATCTCACTTATCATCAAAGACTTCACACAGGGGAGAAACCGTATCAGTGTTTGGAATGTGGAAGGAGCTTCATTCGAAAGATAAACCTCACTTCCCATCAGACAATCCACACAGGAGAGAAACCATTTCAGTGCTTGGAGTGCGGGAAGAGCTTTAGACAGAATATAACTCTCAGTAATCATCAAAGACTACACACAGGAGAGAAACCCTATCAGTGCTTGGAGTGTGGAAAGAGCTTCATTCGGAAGACTGATCTTAGTTATCATCAAAGAATCCACACAGGGGAGAAACCTTATCAGTGCCTGGTGTGTGGAGTGAGCTTTACACGGAAAAGGCACCTCACGTCTCACCAAACGATTCACACAGGGGAGAAACCATATAAATGCCTGGAGTGTGGAAAGTGCTTTCGCCTGAACAGAGACCTCATTCCTCATCAAAGAATTCACACTGGGGAGAAACCGTATCACTGTTTGAAGTGTGGAAAGAGTTTCAATACAAACGCAAACCTCCGTTGTCATGAGAGAGTTCACACAGGAGTAAAACCATATAAATGTACGGAGTGCGGGAAGAGCTTCAGTGCGAAGAAAACACTAATTTCCCATCAAAAAATGCATACAGGGGAAAGTGATATGAATGTTTGCAGTGTGGAAAGAGTTTCCACGTAAATAAAGTTCTCATTTCTTTGAATTAACATGGGATAAACTATTCCGGTGCTTGGAGTGGAAATACATGAAATGATGCACATAAGGGTACAACCGTTTACAGTAAATATTTCTTGGGGACGTAGAGTACCCTCCTTTTCTTCCTTAAGCTACACCCCTCCCTCTTGGCCCCACTCATTTAAACTGAAGCAGCCCTGGGAGATCAGAGTTCAAATCCCCATGAAGCCATGAAGTTCACTGGGTAACCTCGGGCCAATGGCTCTCAGCCTAGTTCTACCTCACAGGGTTATATTGAAATACTTTATTGTCACTTGTACACCTTGTATACAGTGAGATTACACGAGCACCCCCACTCAGCTTAGTCTTAATTCCCCTCGTTTACTGACGCACACCCACCAAACCCAAAAGTCAGTTGCCCTGTTGTTCTATTTTCATTAAGCAGCCTAACAGCCCACGGATAGAAGCTGTTCTTTACCCTGTTGGTGCAACTAATCATGCTTCTATATCTTCTGCCTGAGGGCAGGAGATCAAGAAAGTGCCGGCCAAGGTGTGAATCATCCCTGAGAATTTTCCTCACTCTCCTGAGGCAACGTTCTTCCGCTATTTCATCCAGTGGATTCACGGGACAGCCCATATCTTGTGCTGTATTCACCACCCTCTGTAGGCACTTCCTATCAGTTGATCTCAAACCAGCGTACCACACCGTGATGCAGTATGAAAGTATACTTTCTGTCATCAGATGTTGACTGACATCGTTCTTCCGCAATACTCTGCAGAGATGGAGTCTGTTGGGCTTTCTTAACCACCTGGGTTGTATTTATTTTCCAAATAAGATCTTCACTGAGATAAACTCCTAGGAATTTAAAAAAAGAGACTCTCTCCACACAGCCCTCCCCAATGTACAGCGGGGCTAGTTCTCTCTTCCTCCGAAAGTCCAACACCACCTCCTTTGTCTTGCTGATATTAAGGTGCAAGTTGTTCCCTAGGCACCATGTATATATATATTTTTACCTCCCCTCTATACGCTGATTCGTCTCCACCTGTTATTAAACCCATTATGGTGGTGTCATCTGCAAACTTAATAATTGCAGTAGACTGATCAGATGATATACAATCGTACGTATACAATGAATACAGGTAGGGACTTAGCACACATCTCTGGTGTGCCAGTGCTGATTTTCAAGGAATTCGATGTTACATGTCCAGTCCTCACTATTTGTGTCTGATCTATCAGAAAGTCTTTAATCCAGTCACAGATGGTAGGAGAAAGGTTCATGTCAGTCAGCTTTTTTCAGGGTTGTTGTGAATATATAAAATTGGGAATAGGAGAACTATGAAGCTACTTCAAGTTCATTTGAGGAAAGGTGGGCTATAAATTAATAATAAATGAATAACAAGTCCATTTCCAGCTTACCTGTCCTTGATTTTGAATTGGTGGCGGTGGTATGTTTTTGTGTGTGTGTGTGTGTGTGTGTGTGTGTGTTTATATAGGAGACTGGGTTTGGAATCAGGAAATTAAATGTGCAAAGAGAGGAAATGGAAAGGGCAAAGGAATGTTTTCTGGTTTCAAAGTGCAGAAAACGTGCAAAGGCAAGGAGAGGGTGTGGGAGAGAAGAATGTTTTGCGCGTGCGCACACACACAAAGATTTAATTTACCCACCCTGGTATTGTAATCTGGGCATCTCCCTGCCCCTGGGGTCTGCAAACTACTTCAAGTTACAAGACAGAAGATTCCGACTAAACATCAGGAATAACTTTCCTTCCTTGGAGGTTTTTAAGCAGAGGTTGGGTGGCCATCTGTCCTGGATGCTTTAGCTGAGATTCCTGCATTGCAGGGGGTTAGACTAGATGACCCTGGGAGTCCCTTCCAACTCTAAGATTCTATGAAGCTCCCTAAACAGGGATGAGGAAGAGGAAAATTGGAGTTCAGGCGCACAGACTCCAATCCAGGCGTGGCTTTCAAGGCAGGGCGGGGGAATGTTCACAGGATCAAATATGGGATAAATCAATTTTTTAAAAAATAAAATAAAAATTTAAATCAACGATTAAATAATTTGTTCTTGGCTGTTAAGACCCTAGTAAATTATTTACGTAAGATGCTGCTATAAGTTATTTCTTCTTCCCTTTATGCTAAACAACTTTTTTCTATTCAAATGAAATTATTTTGCAAAACAATCTTACGTGGTCGATTATGCAGGGTGGGGCTTACCTGCCCCCCCCCAAAAAAAATTATTCACGTTGGCACCCCTGGACCTGGGAGCAGGGTTCGTATCCCCATGAAGCTACCTTGGGCAGCCAACGTCTCTCAGCCCAGCATACCTCACAGGGTTGTTGTGAGGGCGAACTGGGGACGTGGAGAACCACGCGCGCCACCTTGAACTCCTCGGAAGAAAAGGTGGTATATAAACGTAATGGCGGGGCGGGGGAAAGGGAGACACCCGCAAGGGGCCTCGAAGCAGCCGGAGACGAAGGACGAAGGAAGCAAAGGCAGAGGCTGAGGCAGACGCGCCGCCATGGAGGAAGCCAGCGGAGGAAAAGGCGGCCGGGCGGCGTTGCTACGGGCTCGTGAGGCGTTGCTAGGAGGCGCCCAACGGCCGGGCAGCGTTGCTAAGGGCACGTGAGACGTTGCTAAGGACGGCCGCGCGGCGTTGCTAAGGGTACGCGCGGCGTTGCTAGAGGCGCCCAACGGCCGCGCGGCGTTGCTAAGGGCAAGTGAGGCGTTGCTAGGGGCATCCAAAGGCCAACCGCCGCTTGGACACTCTATGGCCTTCGCTATTTCTCGACTCGCGCCTGCTGCTGATCACTTCCGGGTCTCCTCGCAGGGTTTTCTCCGGGCAGGGAGGGGGAGCCGCCTGCAGAATTCAACGGGCGGCCGCTTCTCGTGGGGAACCAGCGGCGGAGGCGGGTTCTCGCCTCATTAAATGCCCCCAAGGTCTTGCGTTGCCGGGGAGTTGGGGGCCAGATGATTCATTGCCTGTGATTCTGAGTTGTAGGGTTTGGAAGGGACCCCCAGGGATCATCTAGTCCACACGCAGGCACACCCTCGAAATGCAGGCATCGCAGCTAATTCTGCAATTCTGGGCTGCATCAATAGGAGTATAGCATCTAGATCCAGGGAAGTAATAGTGCCAGTGGCATAGCGTGGGGGGTGCAGGGGGGGCCAGCCGCACTGGGCGCAACATCTGGGGGGGGGGCGCTCGCACTTTCAGCTCTCTGCCCCTACCTGGCTCGCTCACTCTCTCTCACTGCAGTGCTGGCTGTGTGAATCCGATCCGAGCAGCTGGGTCGCCGCACACTGTGGAGGGGGTGGGTGCCAGGCGTGCGGTGCGGAGAGAGAGCGAGGGACTATCTGGGGGAGGGACAGTGCAGTGGCCGCCCAGCGCAGCGCGGGAGAGAACCACACCAGACCAGACCAAGCAGCAGCAAGAAGAAGCTGGCAGCGGCGGCAGGTTAAGGGTTAGGGGGCGCAAATTACTTGCCTTGCCCCGGGTACTGACAACCCACGCTACGCCACTGAATAGTGCCACTGTATTCTGCTCTGGTCAGACGTCACCTGGAGTACTGTGTCCAGTTTTGGACAGCACAGTTCAAGAAGGACACTGACAAACTGGAACGTGTCCAGAGGAGGGCAACCAAAATGGTCAAAGGCCTGGAAACGATGCCTTATGAGGAACGGCTAAGGGAGCTGGGCATGTTTAGCCTGGAGAAGAGGAGGTTAAGGGGTGATATGATAGCCATGTTCAAACATATAAAAGGATGTCACATAGAGGAGGGAGAAAGGTTGTTTTCTGCTGCTCCAGAGAAGTGGACACGAAGCAATGGATCCAAACTACAAGAAAGAAGATCCCACCTAAACATTAGGAAGAACTTCCTGACAGTAAGAGCTGTTTGACAGTGGAATTTGCTGCCAAGGAGTGTGGTGGAGTCTCCTTCTTTGGCGGTCTTTAAGCAGAGGCTTGACAACCATATGTCAGGAGTGCTCTGATGGTGTTTCCTGCTTGGCAGGGGGTTGGACTCCATGGCCCTTGGGGTCTCTTCCAACTCTATGATTCTATGATCTCTTGACAGATGGCCACCCAATCTCCTTCCTTGCGAGGGAGTCCGTCTCGCATGCTGCCCGCCCAAGGTACTGCCATGTCTGGCACATCTCCCCTCCTGGCGCCGGTCGGCACATCGCTGGGTGCAGATCTGTCCGGGCAGGTGGTGATGGGGTGCCCCTGCTTCGTGGAAGAGGGATGCCAAGAAGTAGACAGGATACCAGACCATTCCTCCCATTGTTTTGATTAAAATGGGAGGCAGCTGTTGAGGAAGGGCCTGGTTTTCTTCCTACTTTTGATTTTCTTGCCACCTCCCCCCCCAAAAAAACCCCTTCATCGGAGAGTGCGGGGCTAGGCATTCTAAGGGTTAAATTCGGAAGCGGTGGGGGGGAGCCAAAGCCCCCACCCCTTTCATGTCCCTTGGAGTAAAACTGGTCACTGATCTGTCTGCTACCCCCCACCCACCCACAAAAGTGCTACCTTTGTGGGATCTGTTGAGCACCCTGTCACGGCTAAAATGGCCGCTGTTTCTTTAATGTGAATAAAGCTGGGTCAGCATGACTCAGCGGTCTGAATCAATCTGTATATATATATAGGTGAGAGATGTTGGCTGGTGTCTGGTGAGGCTGGTGTTTGGGTTGGTTGGTGCTGGTGTGTATTCAGTCGTGTTTTGCACAAAGACTTTTAATAAAACTCTGCAAGGATATTCCCGTGGACTCTTCTTGTACCGACAAGGAGACTGAGAAGATAAAGGGAGGTCAGAACCCTTTCCTTCTTTTTTTGCTTTCTACAAACACTGACACACCCCTCCCGAAATTTGGGGGAAGGGGAGTGGGGGGGGAAGGATGCACAAGGGGCGAAAGTGAGGAGGGGGAATGCAAAATGCCTTGGGGCTGATTTCCAAAATCAAATGCCAGGCAGGAAAAGGAGAGGGTCGCCAGCTGTTGGGAAGGGGGACCTATTTGGACCCTAGCCCCATTTTACCCACAAAGGGAGGGGGGCCTGTGCAGCAGATCCACTTAGGACCCCCATATATAAACCAGGGGGTTTGATATGTGGGGGCTGGGGAAGAGGAGGGTGTGTAAAGCAGGTGTGCAATGCTTAGTTGAATGGATCATCCCATTGGATTTAGGGGAACCCCACAACCAGATCCCACAATGGGCCTCCCCCGCACCCCAACTGCCACCACTGGGGAGGTACCATATAAATTCCTGGAGGATGTAGAGGTCCCAGGAATAAGAATATTCAAAGGATTCAGAAAGGGAATAAAACCATTTCATGATGGCACTTGTGAACCCTTTCTCTAAATTCCATATTCATTTACAGACAACAGAATTTGAAAACCTGCCATAAATATTCCCAGACTGGAGGATAAATCAGAATTTTTTTAATTCACTGCCCGTTTCATTTGATAGATTTTTATTCTCCAGTTACATGTCTTAGCCTTAGCAAAAGCTTATTTCCTTTTACTCTCTTCCAGCAGACTGACAACCTCCACTGACAGAGCTAGCATGGGACGTTTTGCTCCTGATGTGGAGCAAGAAATGGAGGTCCCGTCCCTGGTATAGATTATCCAAGACTGGAGAAATTATTTGTCACCTCACCAAAGCAGAAAATCCCACTTGTGCCTCCCCCTGCTGTTGCAATTCTAAGCAACAGAAGTATTTGGCTCCTCTTCTTAACTGGTTATGATTAGAACTCTGCAGCTAACATCTGAAGCATGGATTTGATTTTTTCCTCTTCCCTCCTCATCCCTTT